CAAAGTCCAGTTGCCTCTTGAAAAAAAAAACACCTTTTTGGAGATTGTGGAATATATATTGACTTCCTACAATGGAGACTAAGTCCCCTTAATCAATGTGAAGGCTTTGTCAAATTAGGCAGCTGATAGCGTTTTAAAAAAAAAACCTAGCCTTGTCTTCAGTGGACAACACTATGTGTCACAACAGAGAGAAACTTCGACTTTCAATCCAGGGAATCCCCTTTTATGCTTCCTGGTGGAGAAACACAGCTGTGCCTTTCTCTGTTTGGGAAAACAACGAACAAAATGATGTGAAATGTCAGCAAGAAAGCACTGTGGGAACAATGTGTCACTTGGAAAGATGTTTTCACGTCCCCCATTTCTGGTGCAGCTGAATCGACCTATTGATTAAGACACGAATCTCTTTCCTCTTAGTCATCCAGGCTGTTTAATTGTCCCCTGGTATTTGCATCTGCTTCTGTTTCCAGTATGCGGTCCAGAATCCTGTTTCCCACTGAGCTAAACCAGTGTTTCCTATGAATCATTTGTTAATGGCCAGAGTTATGGCTCTCTTGGAAAAACAATATTTCAGTCAAAAGTATGAATTATGGGTTTGTGTACATAGACCGGGATTACAAGCCAAGGCCTTGTGCGTCAATCAAATGAAGCAAGATGATGGATGGGGCTTCAGCGTCCACTCCGCATCCTTTGGCTGATTTGAGCATAGTTGACACATGGACAAAGCATCTGACATCCCTTGTGTGTCAAGTACAGGAAGTCCTCAACTTAACAACCATTCATTTAGTGACCATTCAGAGTCACAATGGTCATAAATCAACAAAAGTGACTTATGTTGCGGCCTATCGGCCACTGGCCCTTCTAGCAGCCAAATCAGAGGAAGAGGAGAAGGAGGTGTAGGAGTCAGGGCCAGCATCAAAGCAGTCTGAGAGCTCCGAGGGGGAAGAGGGAATGAAGCCGTCAGAGAGAGAGAGAGAGACAAAGGCGGTGCCTGAGCCGTCCATCAGCCCTTAAATGGAAAGGTAACAGCCCCCAGGTCTGGAGGTGGCTGATGAGGAAGAGGAGGAGCAGCTGGGTCCAGGGCCTGACACACGGCTGCACAGAAGACAGAGGAGAGGAGAGCAGTGGAAATCTATGGACCGGTCCCTGGGATGGAAGAGCCACCGCTGCTAGCGAAGCCCCACCCTAGCTCTGGGGATAAAAGGCAGGGGACGGGGATGAATAAATGTGGCAGACAACTATTCATCTCCCTGCCGGACAGACTTGTTAGCCTGCGGTGAGAGATAAACTTTTTGCTGCTGGCGCTCCTAATAAAGGAATCTTTGAGTTAACTTCAGAGGGTTTATCATGTTTGGGGAGCTGGGTCAGAACAATTTATAATCGTTTTTCATACTTATGACCACTGCAGCATCCCCATGGCCACGTGATCAAAATTTGGCAACTGGTTCATACTTACGACGCTGGCAGTGTCTCGTGGTCCTGGGATCCCCCTTCGCGACCTTCTGACAAGCAAATTCAATGGGGAAACCAGTTTCGCTTTAACAGCCGTGTTACTAACAACTGCAGTGGTTCACTTAACAACTGTGATAGGTAAGATGGTAAAATGAGACAACACTCACTTAACATCTTCATTAGCAACAGAAATTTTGGGCTCAAGCCTCAATTGTGGTCATAAGTCAAGGAACTACCTGCAATGGAAACTGAGCTCGGATCAAAGTATTATTTTTAAGCAGAACATCCTTCACATTTTTATGTTGATGCTAATTCAAATTTGTTGGGTCCTTGGTATTCCCTGAGCTTGTCTGTTTTCTTGTAGACATTTCATTACCCAACTAGGTAACATCATCAGTGCACGATGTCCCGCCCACATGGTCAAAGGTTGGTCTTATCTAGTAAATTGCTAATTGCCTGCTCTGATTATTCCAGGCAGGAAAGCAATGGAGAGGCATGAAGTGCATGGAAGGATAATATTTCTACCATTTCATTGTTATACTGAAATCTGAACCGAGGGTTAATATTATACTCTGTAACAGAGAGGCACATTTTTGCCTTGCTTTGTGAGGGAGCTCTTTTATTTACACAGAAGCCAGAAGGACTGTATACACAGTGGCTATATTTTCTCAGAAAAACATAAAGGACCAGCCTCAAAAAGGAGCAAATCTGAAAGAGGTTAATAAGGATTAAAAGTTTCAATTGATTATGCTTATAAACTTTGCTTTACAAAGGAAAATTCAAGAGCAACATCAAGGAAAGCGTTAAAAAAAAACGTATCTTCTAACACATATATCTAAAACCAAACAGTACATTTTCCATTTTCGTATTTTTCTCAAAAATGTAAAAGATTAAATGGTACCATTTATACGGTAATAGTCAAAGGACTGAAGTGGAAAATAAATAGATCTAAAGGACAGCTTTAATGAAACGAAGGACCTTTTTGTAGTTTTTTCTTTGATATGGCTGTGGAGGACTTCAGATGCTCCAAATGGTGTTTTAAAGCATGAATGTTCTCTGCCTTCAATCGCTTTAAAACTCAACTCTATCCAGATGTTGACTAAGCTTGCAAGAATATTGTCCCAAAGGTGCTTTTTTTAGGAGGCAACTGAACTTCCCTGTTTTTTTTCTTTTGAAGACGTTTCGCTTCTCATCCAAGAAGCTTCTTCAGCCCTGACAGGATGGTGGGGAATGGAAAGATTTATATTCCTTGTAAATCCTTCCATTCCCCACAGTTCTGTCAGAGCTGAAGAAGCTTCTTGGATGAGAAGTGAAATGTCTTCAAAAGAAAAACAAGAAAGTCCAGTTGCCTCCTGAAAAAGCACCTTTATGACAACCATAACCTGGATGACTGAGAATCTCTACAGATATTTTGCAGGAATATTATTCTGAAACTACTTCCCTTGTCTTTGAATATCATTTCTGCTTATGAATACCACAATTAGGACATCAACCAGTTGCTGCATGTTCGTGGGAAAGGACACAGCTGCTTTAAGATGGTGTCCATGTTTTTTTCAAACTAGACAAGTTGAACATGTGTGGACTTCAACTCCCGGAATTCCCCAAACTGGGGAATTCTGGGAATTGAAGTCCATACATCTTCAAGTTGCCAAGTTTGAAAAAATACTGTGCTACATAATGCTCTAAAGCTGTCCTCTGCAATTGCCCTTTGCTCCCAGGAAGACACAATTGCTCTAAAGATGCTGCTAGAAGGAAAATCCATCTGGTTCAGTTCCAGGCTGGGAGAAAGATGCTGGAAACAAAATGGAGGCTGGAGGCTGATTGGAAAGAGAGGTTTATTGATGAAGCATAACCACGAACCACGTTATTCTGGGCAGCTGACAAAATGGAGTTGAGAGTGGGTGGGCTATTATACCTTCTTTGGGCTTTCTATTTGAGCTTCCTGTTCCTGTCCAAGAACATATCCTTTAATATTCTATTGGCTGTTGTTAGATACCTATCAGGTCATGTAGGGGGTTATGTAGGGGTCATAGCTGGCTCTATAGGCAAAAGAGGAAATGCAAATCCTAGGTGCTTGTCTGAGTTAATCTGGTCAACCTCTGGCTTATTGTTTATCTGAGTTCCCAGATGAAGTTTGGACTGCTCTGAGATTGTATAATGAAGCGGCTTGTATTCTGAAAGCGTGTTGGGCAATTTCTATTGTGGCTAATGGCTTTCATCCTGTATTGGATCTTGGATGAGGGGCTGCTTTCTAATCCTACCATTCTGCCAAGGAGTGTCAAAATATCCTCTCTTGAATGGATTTCTGCCTGCAATATTTGCTTTCCTTATGAATAGAGCTATCTAGGTACTCCTTCAATAAGCTTTTAAGTGCTGGCATCTGCTGTGGGCTATTCAGAAAGACTTTGGGGCTGCTTTCTGTCTTTAAGAGCATGTTTCTCCATTTCTCCTTTAGGGAAATATAATATTCTGCCTTTCTAATATTTCCCAAAATATTTCATTCTTCTAGGAGTTGGGAGGGGGCTTCCCACAATGCTTTAAAACAGTGATTGCCAACCAGTGGGCCGTGGCAGGCCATGAGAAAATTTTGGTGGGCTGCAGAGAAATGTCGTCCCCAGAGCACCCCTCAAAGCAATTAATCCAGGCTGCGCAGGAACACAAGGCTGCACCGCCCACATGGCCCGTGGGAACCCTCCCCACCCACTCATTCCTTACCTGGCAAACTTGCCTGCTAAATTGCTATTTTTCCTTTTTCCGACCATCAGCTGTTCTGCTGTGCCGGGAGATTTAGATTATCTAGGAAGCAGGAAATGGTTGGATTTCTTGCTTTCTAGCTAGTCTTTAGATCTTCGGCTCTGCTTTTAAGCACAGCTGAACCTCCCTTAGGACTGAAGGTTCTATTATTCAGTGCAGACTCACGGCAAGCAAATTTTATCTGACAGACTGAGCTAGCTGATGGCAGATAGATAGATAGCTGAATGATTCTGTGAGCAACTCAATCTGCCTGCCTGCTTTGCCTGATTTTGGGTAAAAGTTGCTCTTTTTTAAATAAAAAATTCAATATTTATATAAATATTTATAATATTTACATATAAGCCATGCCCAGCCAGTCACAGCCACACCCACAAATTAGGCCATGCCCACAGAACAGGTTAGTGGTCCCTGAGGTCCAAAAGGTTGGTGACCCCTACTTTAAAACATAGCTGCTTTAAACAACATAGCCCTGCAGTCAGACAAACAGAATAAGAGAGTTAGAAGGGACCTTGGAGGTCATCTAGTCCAACCTCCTGCTCAGACAGGAAATCCTATTCTATTTATTCCCAGGAAAAGACAGAGGTGTTTTATGAGCCAGGGTCCTGTTCCCACACTGTCAATGTAACCCAACCTGAGCCACCACACAGAGCCTTTTACTATTTGGGGTTAACTGCCTGAAATGAAGATAAATCATCCACTTTCCTGCTAATGCAGGAAGAACGGTTCTAGCCGGCAGGAGAAAAATATCCTGCTGCTGTTGAAGCAGACATTGTTTGTTTTTCCTTCCTCTATTTTAGGCGCTCCTGAATGACCCGCTCTACATTGGCCTCAAGCATAAGCGAGTTCGTGGGAAACAGTACGATGACTTGCTGGATGAGTTTATGCAAGCCGTCACTAACAAGTGAGTAGGCTTACTACTTACTCTCCCGTTAGCTGCTTTACCGTGAGAGATCGAGGCGTGTAAACAAACCAGCTTTCAACTTGCAGATTTGAAACAGAGAAAAAAATGTAGCCACGGATGCCCCCGTGGGTGGTCTGGAAATGACCCCTTTGGATGAAGACCCTCTTAGGTTAATGTTTATTTATGTGGTAGAGCAGGAACGATTTCCTATCCGTGGCACAGGACATCTGCATGTGAAAAATGTTAGGTCGCATGGATTTCTGGCGTTTAAGGCCAGGCCTAGTGATTAGTGCTTTTTGTTAAAAATAACCGCTCACAGTTAAGGTGTATGGGAATGATCTTGGGAAAGAGTCACAGACAACTGTCATGTAACTGTTAGAAAAATAATTTGGGGCTCCCACTCGAGCGGAGGTTGTGCCAGAATAAATAAATATCTTTTGATTGATTGATTAGCCTATGAGCCAAATCAATGTTCAAACACATATTGCCAATAAAATTCTAAACAAACAATTGAAAATGACAATAGGGTAAAATGCAATCGTTATAGGACAAAATACAATAATTGAATACATAAATATGTAAAGTAGAATAAAATGACATAACATTTATAAATAAAGATGAGATCCAGGCAGCTGTGAGGAAAAAAAGAAATAGTTATTCCTAAAAGAAAAACAACAGTGCTTAGACTTATATAAGCGCTTTGTAGTGTTTTATAGCACTCTCTACACAGTTTACAGAGTCAGCCTGTTGCCTCCGACAATTTGCCTCCTCATTTTACCGACTTCGGAAGGATGGAAGGCTGAGTCAACCTTGAGTCGGTCAGGATCGAACTCCAGACTGTGGGCAGAGTTTGCCTGCAATTCTGCATTCCAACCACTAGTGCTCTGGTGTTTGCCTTTGGAGGAAGCGGCAGAGAAATGGGATACAGCAACACATTTATACAGGGAGTGGGAGTGTGGCTCCGGTGGTTGTGAAGGAAACTGGGGAAGGCACAGTCCGGCTGGGCATTCAGAGAAGCCAGGCCCACCCCCTCTTCATCCTAGGGCATGCAGGGAGGAACGGATAAGGGAGCAATGTGAGTTGCGTGGTTTACGGGGGGAAAGGGCCCTGATCCCCTTCATTGGCTGAAGCTGGGAAGACTGTTTAAAAGAGCAAACTGCACATGGCAAAGTTGCTGAAAGCAAAGCATGAAATTATTCTGGTTTGTCAAGTTTTATCTGAGTTCTGGCGTCTTCCCAAGTGTGTGTGGTTCATTATTTTTCAGCGTCTTCAATCCCTTATCCTGCCCTGTCTTGTTAATTGCTGCGGCGTGGTTTGTGTTGGTTTTTATTTATAATTTAGATGTATTTTGGGTTTGGATGGAATTTCTTCTCTTTATTAACTGTTTTCGGGAGAGTTTTTTCTCCAGCCGATGATAACTGGACATCGGGGGCCAAGTTGGAGGTATTAAAAGGGCTTTACCTATTTTTGTGACTTTGTTGCTTTTGTGCCATACCCCGGGTCATCACAATCTCAATCTGTTCAGCAGGTGAGTAAAACGCCGATTGCTGCTCTCAATTTTCTACTTAATTTGGTCTCGTTTGGTGACTTGCCCAATCGTGTCTCCCGAGACAGAACATTGGTGAGTGATAAAATCAAGAAGTTCTCACACACTCTCCTTTCAGCCTCATCAATTCAGGACTTAAGACAGAAAGAGATCGATATCTCCTTCACTTGCCGGGGTCTTTTGCAACGTTAATAGGCAGTAACGTTAATTGGTCTGTGGAGAAGCATCTCAAGTGCTGGTGCCATTTTCTCTGGTTGAGTGCCAGTCTTTGACAGGTGATGATGTGAGGAATGGCAGGGCCAGACACAGCACCTGGGATTATGCACCTAAAGCCAGATTCAGCCATCTGTGATAAAAGCCCAGGATAAGTTTATATGTCAGGAAGGGTATCGCAGGCCATCTGTCTGTTACCCGTCTGCTTTGAAAATGCACTCCCACAAAAGATATTTATTGGTTGATGTCCGTTTTGCTGGAGTTGAGAATACATTGCGGATCTGTATCGTGATGTCTTCTTGGCTGCCTCTGCTGTGGGCAATCTTGGGAAGTGGAAGTAGGAGAAAGGTAGGTGACTTTAAAATACTGTCAACGGGAAAATAAACAGTGACTCTTAGTTCCTGTCTCAGGCACAGAGCCATCTGGGTGACCTTGGGCTATTCAGCCCTAAGGAGCAGGTGATGGCTCCCCTTGTTCCTCTGCCTCGCTGCTGCCAGACTCCGAAGGCTCCAAAGGCAGCACCCTACTCCCAGATAGTCTTGGCCACATCCCTGCATCGGATGCAGGACCCTTGTCCAAGTCCTCTCCAGACTCCCTGACTGGTCCCCTTTCGTCCTCACTGTCCGATACCTCTGCCGTCTGCATCGGCTGCCGGCAAACCGCGTGACCCTGAGGACACTACAGCGGTCCAAAGTGTGAAACAAAAGCAGTCATATAAATCACTTTTTAGTGCCATTGCAGCTTTGAACAGTCACTAAGTAAATTGTCGTAAGTCGAGGACTACCTGTGTGTGTGTGTGCTGATTCTTGATTGTACTTATTTGGGAACAATAAAGATGCATACATTTTCTTGCACAGTCTTTGTCAACCATTTCGGTTTTTTGCAAACAGAAATGGGGGAAAAAAATGACTGTTATTTCATGACTTTTTGACACGATATCTATCTAAATTTAGATGGGGTAAAACCAACAAAACGGACCATCCAATCCAGTTTAGCAGTCTATTTACGTTCTCTTGCTACTAATGAGTCCCTTAAATTTATTATAATGCGTGATGAAATTAGATTTCTACAGTCTCTCTGTGTATTTATAAGAGGGAGAGAGACAATTTTAGCATGCATATTTTTCCAGATGCACATCATATTTCATATAAACTACTCATTTTAATCCTTAATAAAACTTTTATTTTTGTCCCGTCTGGATTTCTTTAGGAGTTATGTGTACGTCATTACAATATTTATACATTTTGCCAGATTTATGCCTTGCCTTTCTCCGGCCCTTCTGGGTGGCAAACGGAGAATTTCCACCTCTGTGTAAGTAAGTCAGGCTGCAAAGAATGACTGGAGTAGCGTTACTGTGGTCTCTCATCCTGGCTTACCCCCTTAAACACTATTCTATACCCAGCTTTATGCAAGCATGCATTGCAGTCAGCTGTATGCACTCATCACTTGGGAGGAAAATCTCTTCCATACTGATTTCCATAGGATTTGGTAACTGCATTTGACAAGATGGTAAGACAGGTGGCATACAGAAGACTCCGTGTGCATTTATATCTGTTTTCCTTTTATTCCCCATCTTAGCTTTCTTTAGATAGGGAGCTGTCTTGCATCCAGGGTTATTTTCCTTTGGGGGATAAAAACAGTAATTTGCAAGAAATTGCAAGAAGCTTGAAATTATCCTCAGTTTTCATCTTAAAATAAAAATGAGTCCACAGAGAAGCTACTGCTGGGACCAGTTTAGACAGCGATACCCTTTTTTTTTTCTTTTTTTAAAATCATTTTTTCTTTTATTATATAAAATACAAAAAAGAAAAGAACATGGGAAATTAAGGGTAGGAAAGGGGGCATTGACTTCCAACTCTTCCTTAGCACAGTACAAGATAATAAACTCCAGTTTGACTTTTTGCTTTTACACATTAATGTATAATAACTAGCCATTTCTTATAACACCAAATCTTTCTAATCAACAGAACCAAAATCAAAGTTTCATTTTTTTTTTCTTCACAAGTTCCAAAAGTGATATCCAAATAAGAACATGTTTTCCTCTTTAAATAAAGTAATCAAGTTAACCATTCCTGCTTTATCTTCCTTGCCATGTAAATAATGTGTATTTCTGTTTGGACCTAGTAATCCTTATGAACTGTCACCATTTTTATTTACAAAATTTATGGTATTTTTTTCAAATTCTTGAAAGTCAAAGAATGGCACTCCTTTCTTACAAGTGGTTATACCAAGCCAGCTGTGTATGACTCATGTCCAGGTAATTATTAGGAATTGAGCTATGGAATACATTGAAATGGTTACTAGAAGTTTGGAGTTTAGAGAACTTTCTTATAAGTGATTACATCCAGCCAATTTTGGTGGACCTTGTCAAGAAATCATCATAAGTTGGCTTTGAATATAGCTACTCCTCGGCTTATGACCACTGCTGAGCCGAAAATTTCTATTACTAACCAACATTGTCGTTAAGTGAGTAGCACCCCATTTTTCAATCTATTTTATCACTCTTGTTAAGCGAATCACTACTGTTGTTAAGTATATGGCGAATATGGCCACTGACTTTGCTTGTTGGAAGGTTGCAAAAGGATATCATATGACCCTGGGCAGCTGCAACCGTCATAAATACATGCCTGTTGCCAAGCACCCAAATTTTGAACATATATCCATGGGGATGCTGCAACGGTCGTAAGTCTGAAAACTGGTCTAGAATACTGCACCCAGTTTTGGTCACCACACTATACAAAAGAGTGCAGAGAAGAGCAATCAAGATGATCAGGGGACTTGAGGCTAAAACATATAAAGAACTGTTGCAGGAATTGGGTATGTCTAGTCTGATGAAGAGAAGGTCTAAGGGTGACACGATAGCAGTGTTCCAATATCTCAGGGGCTGCCCCAAAGAAGAGGGAGTCAAGCTATTCTCCAAAGCACCTGAGGGCAGGACAAGAAGCAATGGGTGGAAACTAATCAAGGAGAGAAGCAACGTAGAACTAAGGAGAAATTCTCTGACAGTGAGAACAATCAACCCATGGAACAGAAGTTGCCTTTGGAAGTTGTGGGAGATTCATCCCTGGAGGCTTTCAAGAAGAGACTGGACTGCCATTTGTCAGAAATGGTGTAGGGTCTCCTGCCTGGACAGGGGGTTGGATGACCTTCCAACTTTGTTAAGATCTGGTCACAATTCACTTTTTTCAATGCTATTGTAACTTGGAAGGTCATTAAACAAATGGTTGTAAGTCGACTATCTGTACATTGATGTGGTCATTGCAAGTTGAGATCAATCTACTACAGGAAGTCCTTGATTTACAACAGTTTATTTAGTGACTCTTCAAAGTTACAATGGCACTGAAAAAAAATGACTTTACAACCGTTTTTCACACTTACAACCATTTCAGCATCCCTGTGGTCACGTGATCAAAATTCAGAGGCTTGGCAACTGACTCATATTTATGACGGTTGCAGTGTCCTGGGGTCCCCTTTTGCGACCTTCTGAAAAGCAAAGTCAACAGGGAAACCAGATTCACTTAATAAACATCCTACTAGCTTGACAATTGCAGTGATTCACATAACGACTGTGGCAAGAAAAGTTGTAAAACGGGGCCAAATTCACGTAAGAAATGTTTCGCTTAGCAACAGAAATTTGGGGCCGAACTGTGAGGATTACTATACTCCATTTTTCTGGCAACCTACATCCAGAAAGTAAGTGTAGTAAGAATTGTAGCCTCCTGACAGGAATTTGATGCTCCCTTGTCAGAATTTTTTTTTAAAAAAATGCTTTGTATGGCATGGATTCTAAGCTCTTTAAGAGCAGGTGCCCACCTGAAATACAGGTGAGATAGAAGGGCCCTCGGAGAGGTAAACCTTTTCTTCTTTTCTCGTCTCTTTTTTATAATCAAGGAGCGAAATGGGGACTGAATTACTTGTCTGAATGTCTAGCAAGAGCCCACAGAGGCAGCTGTCTTTGTCTTCTTGCTGACAGACACATTTTAGCGGGGCAAAAAGAAAAAGTCCTGACAAACAGCAACAAGAGGAAAAAAAAATATACACCTGGGAGACCCTAACAAAAACCAGGAACCTTTTTAATACGGTGATGAATGGAGCTTTCAATAGCTTATGTAGAAATAAAGCTTGATTTTCCTGGTGTCAGTTTCCAGATTGGGAGCCCTCCGTGTTATCCTGGACTTGTTCACGTCAGGTTTCAGGAAGAGTCGGAGGTGCTGAATGGAAGATTGTTTTGCCGTGCCAAAGTTTTATTGCTTAGCTTGGGACCCAAAGGCAGCATGTTCTCTTTTCATTAGATGCTCCCTTGGCCACTTATTCAGAAGGGGGTCTATTCATCAGTTTGCTTGTTTTTTCTTTGGCGCCGTCTCTCCAATTATTCGCTTCATATATTCAAAGCACTGATTGTTTAACCATGTGCTGTTAGGGAAACATTATTTTTTCCATGCGTGGGTCTTTCAAAGAATCCTCCCAGGATCTGCCACATAATCCGGAGTTCGTGTGTGCTGGGTTCACACAGCCTGTGAAACAGTGGTGGTAATTCTACTGGTTCAGCCTGGTTCGGCTGAGCTGGGAGCGCCGAGGAGCAGCGGAGGCCGAACCGTTTCTCTCCGCCGCTCTGCTGTTGGGCCCACCCACCCACCTGGGCTACCATACTCACCTTTAGCCTCTGCTTTTGAAGCGCCGCTGCTTTGCGCGGCACAGCGTAGTACCATGCAGCAGCAGCTGAAGTGACAAGGAGAGTGCAGGCTTGCAGGAGGTGAGTTGCACCTGTGCAAATGCCTCTGTGGCTATGCAAAGTGCACATCTGGTGCGTGCATGCACACATTCCACACCATGCCCACCCAACCAGTGGTAAAAAATCTTTGAATCCCACCACTGCTGTGAAACAAAACTCATCTCACGAATGCTGAACCTAGGCAGTGGTGGGATTCAAGTAATTTAACAACCAGTTCTCTGCCCTAATGACCAGCTGGGTGGGCGTGGCCATGATGGACGTAGCCAGGAGGGTGTGACAGGTAGCACTCGGCCTCCTGCACCTCCCTGGGAGCAGAAACAGGTTGCGGGGGGGGGCGCGTCACGCACACACACACACACACACGTCCCATTTTGGGCCTGCACTTACCTGGGAGCCAAAATGAGGCACTTGGGGACTCCTGGATGGGGAGGAGAGGGGCCAGCCAGCAATTTAACAACCAGTTCGGCCATAGTGGTGCAAACCGGTTGAATCCCACCACTGAACGTATGTGTCCTAGGATAATGTTGCAAGATCCAATCTGGATGGGTCAGCAGGACCAGGTCTTCTGAGCTTTGAGGCTCGCGGTGAAGCCCATCTTCAAGGAACTTCTCTCCACCGAAATAAGTTCTTTACGCTATTCAGTGAGACTTATTTATGTTGTGCCTTCTTATTGGTGTGTTGATGGCCAGCCATTGGCTGTTGTTTGCTTGTGCTGCCAATCCCTCGGCTCCCAAGTACCTAATAAGCTGGGGGTAAATCAGAACTCCTGTTGACACATAAATACAACTTATAGATAATAGCCCAAACTGTTCTGGCAGAAGGGCTGTGCTGTGGACTTCACTTTTTTTCAGTGCTGTTGTAACTTCGAAGGTTGTATGTCAAGGACTATCTATATTGGTCTCTGTGGAAGCCTATCAATTGCCAAAGTTTCTCTGTGTCAAATTTTCCCCAATCTGAATTGTTGTCCTTCACAATTTTTGCATTACAACTTCCAAGATCCTTGTTAAGTTGCTGGGTTCAGAAAGCCCAGGCTAGTCCTTATGACATTGGTTTGTGAAGAAGGTTTTCCTATTTCTTCCTGCAAGCAAGTTGCCGGTGTTTTTTCCCCACCAGTTCTTCTGCCAGTGGTTATTATTCTTGGTTATTATTCCTTTTTGTCACTCTGCAGGTACGGAATGAACTGTCTCATTCAGTTTGAAGACTTTGCCAATGCCAACGCGTTCCGGCTTCTCAACAAATATCGCAGCCGTTATTGTACTTTCAACGATGACATTCAGGGTAAGGTGTCTAAGTGTCCCTTGATAAAATGAAAGGGGGCAACCTTGCAAGGCGTCTTCTGTTGAGTTCCTTTGCAGTTGATTCCTTGCCAACAGGTACCTCTCAAGGTCTTCTGAGCTTCATCTGGAGACAGTGGTGGGATGCTGTCAGTTTAACAACCGGTCCAGTGAACATGTGCTTTGCGCAGCGCTGAAAATAGAGCCTTTAGAAGCTTATCTGCTGACCTTCCAAGTCAGCAACTGTAAGTAGAACAGTGAGGGGGGGCGAAATCAGCTGAGCTGCATGAATGAGATGAGCTACAAAGCAGGAAATAAAGGACAGGATAGGGCAGATGCGTGCAGCTGGGGCCAGCTAATTGTCGGAACTACTGGTTCGTGTGAACCGGTCCGAATCGGCAGCATCCCACCACTGCCTGGAGGAAATACTCAAGAGGTAAGTAGAAGTGCCGCATTGTTTCGGTTGAGTTACACATTCTGCAGTTCGTCCCAGCCGTACATAAAGTTCCGTAGAGATATCTGGAGATGTTCCTTACAAACAGAGGCACTGAATAAATGGATTCTTAAGTTATCATTAATAAAAGCTTGATATATTTTATTTTTGGTATTAGCAAATTACAGTGAGCAGGAAAGATTGATTTCTATTTGTTTTGCAGAATGACCTTTCGGTATTAAATGAACATTAAACAGCCAGTTGTTTACTTAAAAATATCTGTGGGCTCTTAAAAGTCTTCTCCTTTGAGACTAGCAGAGCCTAATTTTCATAATAAATCTTTGTTCTTCACATCTGCTACGTCTCGGATTACGTAACTGGAAAACAGGGGAAAAATTAGTAGAGCTGATGAGACATACAAGAAACATTCTTTAAGGAAAAAAAAATATCGTATCAGGCATTTATTATTGCAACACCTTCCTGCAACGTTTTGGTGATTTTAGTCATTAGAATATAGAATTCTAGGTTCGGCACACCCTATCTCTTGGGAAGACTGTAGAGATTTCTCAAAACCACATAACAGGAAGTCATACCATTCTTTAGCATTCTTTCCTTCCCCTCATCTCTTTATAACAATGTTGTTGTTTTTTAAACGTGAAGTGTTTCTTTGGAAAAGTTGCGTGCCTTGTCCTGTATGGCGTTCATTCCTCTGATGCTGATAAAAAATTAATTATTTAGCTCCCTCAAGAGGACAGAAGAGTGCACTGAGCTTTGATAAATATGAATTTTGAAAAGCGTGTGTGAATATTCTTAGAAATCAGGCTAAGGGAACAAAAAGGGATTGTGTTGTATATAGACATTTGCATACTCGTAATACTACGTTCCGATTGGACAATCACTACTGCCTAGCGATTGGTGGTTAACAACAGATTATGATCGGCCGCCCAAACGGCGGGAGGTTTAAAATAATGCCATTGGTTGCGAGCTGCGAGCAGCCGCTATAAAAGAGGCTGCCGCGGCTCGAGTTTAGTTGAAGTTACTGACAGTTAAATAAAGAGCTGGACTCAACTCCGGTCTCGAGTCTATCTTGTTCTGGTGATAGAACAGATTGTTTGCATAAAGAGCTTTTGAAGCTATAGCAGGGCTGTCAAACTCCCGGCCCAAGGGCCGGATACGTCATGTGCTGGCCACGCCCACACCCAGTTTAGCAAAGGGGGGGGAAGTCCTGATATGTCGCGTGATGCCGCCATGACAACGTGAGCTATAGGATAGCAGTAGCAGGATAGTTCACTTAAATGCATTAGGACATTTCCTAGATCAGGGGTCCACAGCCCGTTCTGAACTGAGCCACGGAAGTGGTGAGTGCATGTGTGTGTGCAACACTAAATTGGTGAAAGTGGCATTCACACATTCCCTCTCTCCTGCCTCCGCCTTTCCACCGAGTTGGAAAAGTTGGAGACCCCTGTCCTAAATAGTATTTATTCAGTTTTCTGAACAATAGTAGCGTGATTATATTTAAGAGACAAAGATAATATTGGAAGTCTGGTAGAATGCAGGTAGTCCTCAACTTATCACCAGGGGTGGAATTCTACCGGTTTGGACCGGTTCGGGCTAACCGGATGTTAAATTTTCATCTGGTTCATCGATCCGGTATTTCAATCGACCGCCTGGCCCTGCACACCCTGCCCCACCTCGCCACACCCAGGAGTCTCCACGCAATGCAGGTAAACGCAGGGCCCGCATGGAGGCTCGAGGGGGAGGGGAACGGGCCTTCCAGAAGTCCAGAAATGGGCCTGTTTCCAGCTTCCGGTGGGCCTCCAGAGCTCGGGAGAGGCTGTTTTCACCCTCCCAGAGGCCTGAGGGAGGCCTCCAGACCCTTGGGAGGGTGAAAAACAGCCCTCCCAGAAGTTCCGGTAGGCCACGCCCACCATGGCCATGCCTAGATAGATAGATAGATAGATAGATAGATAGATAGATAGATAGATAGATAGATAGATAGATAGATAGATAGATAGATAGATGATTAGTAGGTAGAGATGATAGATAGATAGATAGATAGATAGATAGATAGATAGATAGATAGATAGATAGATAGATAGATAGATAGATAGATAGATAGATAGATAGATAGATAGATACTGTAGGTAGGTAAGTAGGTAGGTAGGTAGATGATACTGTAGATATAGATGTTGGTGAAACTTCCATTTAAGAGGGATGTCAGAAAATCAGAGAAAGAGAATTCAGATAGTCTTCGAATTACGACTGTAACGGAGCTGCCCATCATGGTTGTAACTCATGATGGTTATCACATGACCGATCCAAATTTAACCACCTTTTTCCAGTGGTCATTAAGCAACCACTGTAATCATTAAATGATGACCATGGTTATCAAGCAACCAACAGTTCACTGAGGGACTGGTTTCACTAAAAACTAGAAATAACTTCCTGTTTTCAGCAAAACTGTTGTAAAATATGATCACATAACCACAGGATATTAAAAACAGCTCTAAATGAAATAGCGACCCCTCAGATAGGTCCATCTTAAATTCAAATGGTTGCTAAGCAATAGGCCATATGTTGGGGACTACCTATAGCGAAGGAATCCAAGTGAAATATGAGAGGAAGACTATGGTCTGTTACGCTTTGTGGGTGATCCTTCTCATTATCTCTTCCTCCACCTTCGCCACTTTTATTTTTTGCTACCTGCCCTTGATTCATTCTGAAAGTGACCAAGTGTGGTCCTTAATCCAAAACAAGGTTACCCGATCGTAATTTTGTGTCGAGTGAAGTGGAGATGGGACATTTAACTATTCTGGAGACTGATATCTCTGGAATGTTTTTTCTCCATGATTTTGTCTAAGATTGTCTCTGTAGGATTAATCCTTGGTTGCATAAACAGAACATCAAGTCAAAATCATATGGAGTATTAGTAACACATTATAAAACCTTAGTAAGACCACGCTTGGAATACTGCATCCAGTTTTGTTCACTACATTACACACACACACAAAAAAAAGATATTGAGACTTTGGAAAAAATGCAGAAAAGACTATTAAAGGCCTGGAGACTAAAACATAGGAAGAACTGTTGCAGGATTTGGGTTTGGCTAGTCTAGAGAAAAGAAGGACTGGGGTTGACACGGTAGCAGTGTTTCAATATTCGGAATATTTTCCAAAGCATCTGAAGGCAAGATAAGAAACAATGGATGGAAACTAATCAAGGAGAGAAGCAACCTGAAATTAAGGAGAAACTTCCTAACAACAAGAACAATTCACAGTGGAAAAGCTTGCCTTTAGAAGTTGTGGGTGCTCCATCACTGAAGTTGTTAAAGAAAAGACTGGACAGCCACTTGCCTGAAATGATACAGTGTCCTGCTTGAGCACGGGGTTGGGCTAGATTATCTCCAAGGTCTCTTCCAACTCTATTCTGTAACTGTAATTTTTTTCAGTACGCTGACCATATTTCTCTGCTCTTGTAGTCAAGGAAAAAAACTATGCACCCTCCTCACTTCACAGGCAACCAGAAATTCATTAAACACGTGTGTGTGTGTGTGTGTGTGTGTGTGTGTGTGTGTGTGTGTGTGTGGTGAGTGGGTGTATTTGTGCATGGTATAAATTGAAAAATTGGGTTCATTCTGGAGCCTGCAATCAATTCTCTTTAAATACTGTGTCACTCTTTAGCCTTTGATGTGGGATAATGTAACACAACAGGTTCTCCACTGCCGAACACTTCATTATATTTTCTCGTCTGTAGCTTGAAAGAAGCAGGCACAAAACCCAGCTTTTAACACCTACCTGAAAAATGCCATTTAAAATGTGAATTGGAAAACTTTTCCTTTTCATCAGAATTCAGAACAAGTAGATTTATTTTCGAAGATTGCAGGGCAAAAATTGAAAAACGCCATTGGCCTTACGCACCCCCAAAACAGGTCAATAACGTGGTTTTGTGGGACTACAATTTTTCTTTTTGAAATTGTACATTGCAAAATGGGTCACAAGCACCAATGTCATAGTTGCAGGTGACAGTCTATACCAGGGGTGTCTAACTCAAGGCATGGGAGCCGGAACCATCCTGTGGGGGGGCTTAGATCTGGCCCAATGGGCCCACCCTGGAAACAGCGAAGGACTGGCCCACGGTGCCTCTGCCAGCAAAAAGGGAGCTTGGAGAGGCTGCATGTGGCATTCCCAAGCTCTGTTTTTGCTGGCAGAGGGCTGCAGGAAGCTGTCATGGTCCAAAACAAAGCCCAGGAGGGCCATTGTGGCCAAAAACGGAGCCCAGGACGGCCGTCATGACTGCAAATGGAGCCCAGGAGGACTGACATGGCCGAAAATGGAGCCTCAACGAATGACATCGAGCTGGGCACTCCCACCCTGACACACACACACACACCACCCCAAGGTCAAACACAACCTTGATGTGGCTCTCAATGAAATCGAGTTTGACACCCCTGGAACATACCATTTATCCAAATGCTTGCTCCATCTTCTCAAAACCAAGCCAGCTTTGACCCTGAGGATGGAAGGTTATCCTAAAGAAATGTTTCCATAAAAATCATGTAATCCAACACACTTGCTGACTCGAGTTACCAAGATTGATTCAGGTGTATTACCTTCCTTTCCAACCGTTCGGATCAATTCGTGCTTCATCAGAAATGTAGACAATTTCCTCTTCCTATCGGCCTAGCTAAGCAGGTGTCTAAACACCTGGCGAGTGCAGTCACGCTGGGTTCATTTATAATGCAAAGTTGCTATTGCGTTGCTTCGGTTTTGCAGTCATACAAGAGGTGAAACTCATTAGAGATAAGCATCATTAACAAGATCCTTTTGTGACTAAGCGATGCGTTTGGCTTAATGGTCCGCACAATGCACAGTCCAGCTATGTATGTTTGATCGTGTGGGAAGAATTTATAAATGGACATAACTGTGTTAGAAATATTGTGTAGGGAATCATATCCCAAAGGTGCTTTTTCAAGAAGCAACTGGACTTTCTTGGTGGTTTTTTTTGTGAAGACATTGCCTCTTGAAAAAGCAACTTCTCATGCCCCTGTCAGAGTCTGAATCCAAGGAGGAAGACAAACAGCTGACAGGGAGTGGGAGTGTGGCTCCATTGGCTGTGGAGGAAACTGGGGAAGGGCAAAGTCCAGCTGGGCAAAGCAGGAAAAAAGTAGAACAAGGGAGAGGGAGTTCAGAGAAGACCCAGGCCCACCCCTTCTTCATCCTAGGGCATTCAGGGAGGAACGGAGAAGAGAGCAACATGGGTTGCGTGGCTTACGGGGCAGGAAAGGGCCCTGATTCCCCTAATTAGCCACACCTGGGAATGAGAGTTTAAAAGAGATGCAAGCTGAGTGCGGCATCTGCTGGGAACAAACGTGAGTTTATCTTGTGTTGACTTTGGTTATCTGCGTTCCTGGCATCCTCCCAACCAGGTTGAATTATTGCTCCTTCTTCATGACTGGAATTCCTTCTCTTGCCCTGCCAGACTAATTACCTCCTCTTGCCTTGATTGGACTTATAGTTACAGTTTTTGTTGACCGCGTTTTGGACTTGGTTCTCTGCAGCCAAAGGCTGTTCCTGGGAGAGTTTTTCTCCAGCCAGAAGGGAACCAGGACATTGGGGGCAAAGTTGGAGCTAATAAAGGGATTCCTACTGATTATCTGACTGTGTTGCTTTTGTGCCAGGCCCTGGGTCGTCACACACCTTTGGGATATGATTCCCTATACAATATTGGACACACAAGGAATCTGTCTTCAGTGCATAAGCTCTCATCGTACATAAAAGCTATAAGTGATCAATCATGATCATAATCATCATAAAAATACACTCATCATAAATCATAAGATACAACACTTAGTGATAACCATAGGATACTAAATAAACAATCAACATAAATCATACTAGGAAACTAAATAAAGCAATATAAGTCGTAAAAATACAAGTAACAAAGGTATAGTCATAAGTAGAAAAGGAAATAGGTAATCATGTTTATTCAGTCGTCAACATGGGAAGATGGAGGTCCCACCAATTCCACTGACCAATGGATTTATGCCTTTGGTAACGCTGGCACTGTCATAGTACCAAAAGAGCCACTATGGCCACTGCAGACACTTCTGAAAAAGTCCCTTGACAAAGAACAGGAAAAAATGAGTAGTAAGATTCTCAGAGCATCTTTGCCCAAGTTGTAAGCTGCAAACAACCACCAGGGGAAAATCTTAATCTCAGCAGTTCTTGCTGGTCACGGACTTCAGTGAACACCATAGCTTGTTGGAAAAAGACACCCAAGTTCTTTGTGTTACCTGTACGCACTTCAGGTCCATCCACGCGAATGATAAGCATTTTTTTTTTTGTTGTTTACTTTTTGCAGGAACTGCCTCTGTTGCTATAGCCGGAATCTTTGCAGCCTTAAGAATTACAAAGAACAAGCTTTCTGATAATACATTCGTCTTCCAAGGGGCTGGAGAGGTAAGATTCTGGTTTGCTTCTGAGACCCAAAGGTGCTTTTTCAGGAGGCAACTGGACTTTCTTATTTTTTCTTTTGAAGACATTTCGCTTCTCATCGAAGAAGCTTTTTCAGCTCTGACTGGATGGTGGGGAATGGAAGGATTTATATTCCTTGCGGACAGCTGGTCATTTGCATCCTTTTAGAGGGTCAGTGAAGCACTTGGAGGTTTCTCTGTATCCTCAGGGTCACCTGAGTAGTGCTTCTGGTTTCTGTAGTCCTGTAGAACTAGGAAAACTACTCAGGTGACCCTGAGGAACCAGATAAACCTTCAAGTGCTTCAACGACCCCCTAAAAGGATGCAAAGGACGAGCTGTCCGCAAGGAATATAAATCCTTCCATTCCCCATCATCCAATCAGAGATGAAGAAGCTTCTTCAATGAGAAGTGAAATGTCTTCAGAAAACTCCCCCAAAACGTCCAGTTGCCTCCTGAAAAGTCACCTTTGGGACAACCATGACCTGGATGACTGAGAGTTTTTTTACTTCTGAGAATTTGGGTGAACACTTCTCAGCCTTGCAAGGTAGTCCATGAATTGCCCCAATCTCTTTTTGAGAGTTCACCAAACAGTAGCCATCTCATGTCTTGTAGTAAGGAGTTCCACAACTTAAGTCACTTCCACGAAGAAATTCTTTCTTTTTTTTTTTATTCTGAAATCAGTTTCATTGGATGTCCCTACCAGTCCTACTCTTTCATTCCTCCTGTTATCGGGAGGAATTGATTTTATTTATTTATTTGATTTGATTTATTTTTATTTTTGCTTCTTTTCAGGCTGCTTTGGGTATTGCTCACCTCATTGTGATGGCACTAGCGAAAGAAGGAATTCCCAGAGAAGAAGCTGTTAAGAAAATCTGGATGGTGGACTCCAAAGGACTCATTGTCAAGGTAATTGTCAGGCCCTTAAAACAGATGCCATGATGCTACAGCGTCTGTAATGGGGATTGGTAAATCACTGTTGCTGAGTGATGCCATCCTAAGACACAATGTCACCTGAGTGTGACATCTTATGATGGCCGTTCCAGTAGTCCAGTTGTCATCATTAGGAGAATCCTGCTTGGTCGCTGCAGGCTGCAGATAAGTGATCGCCATTTGCAACCCCCTGCCATTAGAAAATAGAATAATTGGGTTAGAAGGACCTTGGAGATCTTATACTCCCACCTCCTGTTCAAGCATAATTCTTTTCATTCTGGACAAATGCCTGCCCAAACTTTTCTTGAAAACCTCCAGGGATGGAGCACCCACAGCTGCCAGAAGTATGCCTTTCCACTGATAAATTGTTCTCACCTCAGGGATTTTTTCCTCCGTTCTAGATTCTTCACTTCACTTAGTTTATTTTAGTTTACTTTATTGTCATTGCACCTCGTACAACGAAATCAAACACCATCTTCAGTGCACATCATGACCATGAAAATAAACACAAACACACCTCCTTCACACTCCACACATTGAACTGAAAACCCCCGACACCGCACCAACACTGCACTATACAGTAGAATTCAAAAGAGCTACTGCCCTGGGATAGAAGCTATTTTTCAGCCTATTTGTCCTTGTTTTTATTGTCCTGTACCATCTGCCAGATGGTAATAGTTCAAAAAAAAAGGGGGTGCCCAGGATGAGATGGATCTTTAAGAATGTTTTGAACTTTCTTAAGGCAGCGGGAGCTATAAAGCTCTTCCAAAGAGGGGAGAAGGCAACCAATGATCCTCTGGGCAATGACGTTAACCCTCTGGAGTGCTTTCCTATCTGCCACTGTACAATTGGCAAACCATACAGAGGTGCAGGAAGTTAAGATATTCTCCATGGTGCAGCAGTAGAAGGTCACCAGCAGTTTTTCATTCAGTTGTTGTTTTCTGAGAAGCCTCAGGTAGTATCATCTCTGCTGGGCCCTTTTGACCAAGGCTGCAATGTGGGCACCCCAGTTCAGGTCCTCTTTTAGGGTAACACCCAGAAACTTAAAACTGGCCACTTGCTCCACTCGGTCTCCCTTGATAAGCAAGGTCTGGATGTCTGATCTGTTCCTTCTATAATCCACTATAAGCTCCTTGGTCCTATTGGTGTTGAGGACCAAGTTATTGTCTCCACATCACGAAAGCAACCGGTCCACCTCATCTCGGTAGGCAGACTCATCCCCCCCCCCCCAGGAGATGAGTCCCACCACTTAATCCTCCAGGGAAAGATTGAAGGCAAACGAGGTCCAGGCAGAAGAAGAACATCAGGGCTTCAAAATCCAAGGGACTGGTTTGGACAAAACTCAGCAGTACTTTTTCGTGCAGCTGTTGATCAAAATAGGATCAACCAACATCCGATGACGGATATGGCACAAGAAGAAGAAGTTCTAGATTGGATTTCTCCATAATCCACTTCCATCCATTACTTCTTGCCCTGCCCTCAAATGCTTTGGAGAATAAGTTACCCAGGAGCTTGCCCTTCCTGAAACCATCATCTGTGAACTATCCTTAAATATCACAATTCGATTCTTACTATGTTACAGAGCACCTGATTATGACATCGAACATATAAACAAGCTAAATACACTACTAACATGGGCTACATCCTGCCCATACCCTTTTATCTTTCTTGGAGATTTCAATCTACCTCATATTGACTGGACCCTAAATAATTGTACAACTGAAATCATACACACAACCTTCTTCAATGCTATTACAAATCTAGGTCTTGAACAACTAGTAACCAACAACACTAGACTGAACAACTGCCTCGATCTCATCTTCTGCAATAGTTTGAATTTAATTTACCGAATACAAACCAAAGAACCCTTTTCCAGTAGTGATCACAATATGATTGACTTTTGCCTCAACATACGTCCACGCAAAAATCACCACAACGATGTCATCCCTAGTTGTAACTTCAAAAAAGGCAATTATGATCTTATAGATAACGATCTCTCATCCCTCGATTGGCAATCTCTATTCACTGGATGCAATACTGTTGAAGATCATTACAACATATTTTTACTTGAAGTCAAAAGAGCCATCAAACTATATGTTCCAACAACAACTCCAAAAACAAAACAAAAAAGCAGATTACCCATATCAATAAGGAAACTTCAATCCAAAAAGAGATCACTCTGGCGGAAAAACAAATCTGGTCACGTTGCTAATTTCAAAAACCGATATAAAAATTTATGCCACCAGATAAAGACCGAATGCACCAATTACCACATTAAACAAGAGGAAAACCTTCTAAGCACCAATTCCACCCGTGCTTTTTACAATTTTGTAAACAACAAACTAAAAGACTCAAGGTCCATCCCTCCCTTGATAGGACCTGATGGTAAAGACTGCAGCGACGACACCATTAAAGCCAACATCTTTAACACATTCTTCGGCTCAGTGTTTGTAAACAGTAATGGATCATGCCCAATGTTTCCTAGCCGTACCACAGACAACAATAATGATCTAATACATATCGATTTTACAGTAGACAACGTTGAAAAAGCACTACGCAACCTAAAACCATCTCTATCTATTGGACCGGATGGAATATGTGCCTACTTCTTAAGAAAACTATCCGCTGCCATAGCCAAACCTCTAAGCATAATCTTTGAAAGATCTTTCAGAACCAGCTCCTTGCCCAACCTATGGTTACAAGCCACAGTCATTCCCATCTTCAAAAAGGGAGACCCAAGCCTAGTTGAAAATTACAGACCAATCTCCTTATGCTGCGTCACCTGTAAAGTCATGGAATCAATTATTAACCAATCCATCATCCTCCATTTAGAGACAAACAACCTACTCTCCAATAAACAATTTGGTTTCAGAAAAAAACTATCCTGTAATCTGCAACTCTTACACTGCAAAAACATATGGACTACTCAACTCGACCAGGGCAAAGCAATAGACGCAATCTACATAGACTTCTGCAAAGCCTTTGATTCAGTGGTACACGACAAACTACTCCTAAAAATAAAATCTTATGGTATCTCTGGACAACTGAATAACTGGATAGAAGCATTCCTGTCAAACAGACAACAAATGGTCAAAATTGGGAACGCCCTATCAAATCCAGTACCAGTCAATAGTGGTGTTCCCCAAGGCAGTGTTCTAGGACCAACTCTCTTCATAATCTACATAAACGACCTTTGTGATCATATCAAGAGCAATTGCGTTCTCTTCGCTGATGATGTAAAGCTGTTCAATACCACAGACAATACTACTACCCTTCAAAAAGATCTAGACTATGTATCTGAATGGTCTAACATATGGCAACTCCAAATCTCAACAAATAAATGCTCTGTCTTACATATTGGTAAAAAAAATCAGAAAATAAAATACAAGCTGAATAGTCAAGATCTTGTTGACGACCCAAGCTCTGTAAAGGACCTGGGAATACTCACCTCTAATGATCTAAGTGCTAGAGCTCACTGCAACTACATAGCCAAAAAGGCATTAAGAGTTGTTAACCTAATCCTACGTTGCTTTTTCTCTGGTAATATCTCACTACTAACCAGAGCATACAAAACATTTGCTAGACCAATACTCGAATACAGTTCATCAGTCTGGAATCCTTATCACGTATGTGATATTAACACAATTGAGAAAGTCCAGAAGTATTTCACAAGAAGAGTTCTCCACTCTTCTACCCGTTATAGAATACCTTACGCCACCAGACTCGAAATTCTAAAACTAGAAAACCTCGAATTACGCCGTCTTCGGTCCGACTTAAGCATGGTATATAAAATCATACATTGCAATGTCCTACCTGTCAATGAATACTTCAGCTTTAACCATAACAACACAAGAGCACACAACAGATACAAACTCAAAGTAAACCGCACCAAACTTGATTGCAGGAAATACGACTTCAGCAATAGAGTGGTCAATGTCTGGAATACTCTACCCGACTCTGTAGTCTCTTCCCCAAACCCCAAAAACTTTAACCTTAGACTGTCTACTATTGACCTCACCCCTTTCCTAAGAGGTCTGTAGGGGGCGTGCATAAGCGCACCAACGTGCCTACCGTCCCTGTCCTATTGTTTCTCTTATTCTTTTATTTTTCTTATATGTACCCATTTCATATATTCACAACTATGTATACACTTGTACTTATTATCTTGTAAACAATTGACAAATCAAATAAATAAATAAAAATAAATAAAAAATAAAATAAATAAGTTTACCCCCTCTTTTCTGTGAAGGCTCCTCAACTGGAAGACTGTGATCATATCATCCCTAGTCCTTCTCTTTATCAGACCAGACATAAGCTAGTTCCCTCAATCGTTCATCAAGTGGCTTAGCCTCTAGACCCTTTATTATTTTTGTTGCTCTTTTCTGCACTCTTTCTGGAGTCTCCAGATTTATTTATTTTTTTTGTATGATAACCAAAACTGGACATAGCATTCCAAACGTAGTCTCATCAGTCCAATATAAAGCTGTACTGTACTTCACATAACATGATTAGGGGACTGGAGGCTAAAATGTTCAAAGAACAGTTACAGGAATTGGACATGTCTAGTCTACTGAAAAGAAGGACTAAGGAGAACATGATAGCACAGTTCCAATATTTGAGGGGCTCCTACAAAGACGAGTGGGGGGATCAAACTATTTTCCAAAGGACCAAAAGGCAAGAAAAAAAAAAAAAACAATGGTTGGAAACTAACCAAGGAGAGAAGGAACCTAGAACCAAGGAGAAATTTCCTAATGGTGAGAGCAATTAACCAATGGAACAGCTTGCCTTCAGAAGTTGTGGCTGCTCCATCACCAGAGGTGGGATTCAGCAGGTTCTGACCAGTTCTGGAGAGCCGGTAGCAGAAATTTTGAGTAGTTCGGAGAACTGGCACATACCACCTCTGACTCAAGATTGTAGAGTATCCTTCCCCTGCCACGCCCACCAAGCCACGCCCACAGAACCGGTAGTAAAAAAAAATCCCACCACTGCCCATCACTGAAGGCTTTCAAAAAGAGAGTGGACAACTATTTGTCTGAAATGTATAGGGTCCCCGGCTTGAGCAAGGAATTGGACTAGAAGACCTCCAAGGTTCTTCTCTCCCCTTCCCTTCTCTCTCTTTTATCCCCTTCCCTTCCCTTTCCTCCCCTTCCCATCTCTCTCCTCTTCCCTTCCCTTCTCTCTCTTTTCTTCCTTCCCTTCCCATTTCTCTTTCTCCCCTTTTCTTTTCTTTCCTTCCCGTCCCATTTCTCTTCCCTTCCCTCCCTTCTCTCCCCTTCCCTTCTCTCTCTTTTCTCCCCTTCCCTTTCCTCCCCTTCCCATTTCTCTCCTCTTCCCTTCCCTTCTCTCTCTTCTCTTCCTTCCCTTCCCATTTCTCTTTCTCCCCTTTTCTTCCCTTCCCTTCCCATTTCTCTTCCCTCCCTTCTCTCGTTTCTTTCCCCCTCCCTTCCCATTTCTCTCCTCTTCCCTTCCCTTCTCTCTCTTCTCTTCCTTCCCTTCCCATTTCTCTTTCTCCCCTTTTCTTTCCTTCCCTTCCCATTTCTCTTCCCTCCCTTCTCTCGTTTCTTTCCCCCTCCCTTCCCATTTCTCTCCCCTTCCCTTCTTCTCTCTCTTCTCTTCCTTCCCTTCCCATTTCTCTTCTCTTCCCTTCTCTCTCTTCTCTTCCTTCCCTTCCCATTTCTCTTTTCTTACCTTCTCTCCCTTTCCATTTCTCTTCTCTCCCATTCCCTTCCCATTTCCCTCTCTTCTTTCTCTTCTCTCCCCTTCCCTTCCCATTTCTCTTCCTTTCTCTCTTCTCTTCCTTTATTTTTCTTCCCTTCCTTTCCCATTTCTCTTCTCTCCCCTTCCCTTCCTATTTCTTTTCCCTTCCACTCCATTCCATTCCATTCTATATTCTATTCTATTCCAGATCTAAGCACCCCACAGGTCAGATGTGGGCCCCGGGCCTTGAGTTTGACATTCCTGCTCTAGGAAGAATGAGTTTGGCTGAGTTTTATTTTGAATAACCACTGAGTACAACTGTTTCATAAATCTAACCCCCGTTAGATCCACAATGTTGGGGAAATAGCTTGCTTTGGTCTTTTCTTTTTTTTAACTTAGAAATATGTTTGCCTGGGCTTTTCTTGTTTCCCAGGGCAGGAGTCATCTGAACCACGAGAAGGAGATGTTTGCTCATGACCATCCCACTGTGAAGACACTGGAGGAAGTGGTGCAGACAATAAAACCAACAGCTATTATTGGTAATCCTTCCTGATTCCTTCTAGAATGTTCTCTGTTGCTTCCATTCTGTTTTCGGGCCTTCCTATTGTGAATGCGGATTCTCACTTTCAAGCTGCAACTACTGACTAATTATTACTTATTAGATTGTTTTTTTAATCCCACCTTTATTACTACAGAAATAACTCAAGGTGGAGAACAATAACTCAAGGTGGAGAACATAGCTAATACTCCTTCCTCCTCCTATTTTTCCTCACAATAATAACCCTGTGAGGTGGCTTGGACCAAGAGAGAGTGAGTGGCCCAAAATCACCCCTTTCATGCCTATGGCAGGACTAGAACTCTCAGCCTTCTGGTGATTGACACAAAGTCACCCAGCTGGCTTTCATGCCTAAGGCGGGACTAGAACTCCCCGTCTCCTGGTGATTGGCCCAAAGTCACCCAATTGGCTTTCATGCCTAAGGCGGGACTAGAACGCCCCGTCTCCTGGTGATTGGCCCAAAGTCACCCAGCCAGCTTTCATGCTAAGGCGGTACTAGAACTCTCAGTCTTCTGGTGATTGGCCCAAAGTCACCCAGCCAGCTTTCATGCTAAGGCGGTACTAGAACTCTCAGTCTTCTGGACAATATTTGTAGCTCATGGTTGAAATAAGGGATTCCTTTGTGTTCTCTAAGCTTACGTCTGCGTTTCATTTCAAACTAGGTAACATCATCAGTGCCAGTGTAAGTTGTAAGTGTGAAAAATGGTCATAAGTCACTTTTTTACAGTGATGTTGTAGCTTTGAACAGTCACTAAATGAACCATTGTAAGTCGAAGGCTACTTGTACACCTCTTCATAGTGCTTTACAACCTAAGAGGTTTACAGAGTCAGCCTCTTGCCCCCAACAATCTGGGTCCTCATTTTACCCACCTCAGAAGGAGGGAAGGGCTGAGTAAACGTAGAGCCGGTCAGGATCGAACTGCTGACAGTTGGAAGAATTTGCCTGCAATACTGCATTCTAACCATTGCACCACCACGGCTTCCTTCCTCCCTCCCTTCCCTTCCCTTCCCATTCATCTTCTTCCCTTCCTTCCTTCCCTTCCCATTCATCTTCCTTCCTTCCTTCCTTCCTTCCTTCCTTCCTTCCTTCCTTCCTTCCTTCCTTTCTTTCTTTCTTTCTTTCTTTCTTTCTTCCTTCCCTCTCTAAGCGGTATACAGGGTCAGCCTCTTGCCCCCAACAATCTGGGTCCTCATTTTACCAACCTCGGAAGGACGATGGAAGGGCTGAGTCAACCTTGAGCCGGTCAGGATTGAACTGCTGAAAGTTGGAAGAATTTGCCTGCAAAAGTGCATTCTCACCATTGCATCACCATGGCTTCCTTCCTTCCTCCCTCCTTCCCTCTCTAAGCGGTATACAGGGTCAGCCTCTTGCCCTCAACTGGGTCCTCATTTTACCCACCTCGGAAGGACGATGGAAGGGCTGAGTCAACCTTGAGCCAGTCAATTGATTTCCATACAACTTTTGTTTTCTTCCTTTTGTTCTCTTTCTTTCAAAAAACAAAAAAATACTTTGCAGGTGTGGCCGCTGTGGCAGGTGCTTTCACTCACCAGATTTTGAAGGCCATGGGGACCTTCAACGAGAAGCCCATTGTGTTTGCCCTCAGCAACCCAACGAGCAAAGCGGAGTGCACGGCCGAAGACTGTTACCGTTTGACAGACGTAAGTCTCCTCCCATTGAATCTTCTGACTACTGGTAGTCTTCAACTGGAACCATAATTGAGTCCACAATTACAGTCATAAGTTGAGATGGTCACAAAGCGGATTATCGTGGGACCGTGCCCAATTTTATGATATTTTTTACAGCAGCCGTTAAGCAAATGGCACGGTCGTTGTTCACGATGGTGGATTTTTTTCTGATGGAAAACTGAAAGTTAATGCGAGTTTCTGGCAAAAAAATATTATACGTCGCGATCATGTGACCGTGGGATCTGTGGTGCATTTCAAATAATTTTATCACTGGTTCAGTGGGCGTGGCTTGATGGTCACGCTTTGTGTGTGCGCGCACGCACTTTGCGCATGCGCGCAAATTTTTTAACAACCGGTTCTGTGGCGTGGCTTAGGTGGTAGGTGTGGCTTGGTGGTCATGTGACTAGGTGGCCATGGCTTGGTGGTCATGTGACTGGCTGGGTGTGGCCAACTCAATATCACTCATATCGAGGCACGCATCTCCTCGCCTGGCCTCTCATGACTGTGGGGATGCTGCAACAGTCGTAAGTGTGAAAAATGGTCATAAGTCACTTTTTTCAGTGCCATTGTAACTTTGAATGGTCACTCCACACAAGCAAAGTACCAGCAAAGGAGGGG